TCGAGTAAGGGAGTGATTTATTTGTGTGGCAGGATCGTGTACCTTCCAGAGACCTGCTGAACTCATAATGAGCCATTGGTTTCCCGTTAGTCCACTTTTAAAGGAAAATTCCTTTTCAACTAACTTTCAGAGCTCTTGTAACTTGCTGTCATAGTAACTTTTATGTTTATTAGAGACTTTCTTATGTGTAGGAGGATGCCCAGCAGGAGTTTGGCTGGAAGATGATTCATACAGTTGTTTTCAGGCCCTCAAAGAGTGCAATGTTGTTGTCAGCCTTCCTGGGTCAAGGAATACAAGTTTTGTTTATGACCTTTATTACTTTAAATGAGTACACTCAGATATGTCTTAAAGATGAGTAGTAAGCTGCTAGCATATGTTGAACTTTGATACCTTTGTACAAAATGACTTGGAAAATTATACCCTAAAGTTTGTGGAAATCTGTGTTTTGTAACGTTTACATTACTGTCTTCTCAAATTAAGGATATGAGTCTAAGTATCTGCCTATATCAAGCACCTTCCAAAGCTTCTTTAGCTCTGAATAGTTTACTGTAAACTCCAATACACGTATTCCTTGCTTTGCAAAATAAATGCATTCTTAAAATCAGTATGTGAGTAGAATCATATTTTAGGTGGGCTAAGGGAGTTCATGATTCAAAGGCTAGCATTTTGAAATGCTACAGCAAGCCTAAGTGCTGGTCTTTAAGTGTATAAATGGAATAGCATCTGTAGTGGGTTCACAATGGCTGATGAATCCTAGAGCCTTCATTTATAAACTAAAAATGGAGCTTGTCAGTTTTTGATAGCCAGAGTAGTGATTTTCGTAAACAAAGCCGCTGTAAAAAATGGCTCATTAAGTGTTTCAGATGTCAATGATAATTTCAAAAATCAGCTTTTAGGGTTATATTTTCCTGAGACCAAGTCTCACTTAGATTTTTTTATCCCTCACCTTGAATGAAAGGAAACAGAAGGAAATTTGTTTGTGAAAAAAAAGACTTGCTGTTTTTTAGTAGTGACTATTGAAGTGGGAAAGGGGAAAATATTTTGTTTTATTTTGAATTAGGCAGTGAAATTAAGGCTAATTCAACTTATGAAAACTTCCTTCCACTTACCTTGAATGGAGAATTAGACCTTTTCATTAACAAAAATTGTCAAGTGCTTAGCCAAGCAAATAACATTTGCTTGTAGCATCCCTTGCTTGTAGTACTTCCATTAGTTAATTTCCTTGTGTGCTGTTTCATATAATGTCTTAATAAGGTTATGCTTAATTTCTTATAAAGTCCTATGTACTGTCGAGACTATTATTGTTGATGGTTTTCTATTTCATTTTTTTGCCCTTAGGTCTGGCCTGCCTTGGTTTTCTTTCTCCTGGCCATGGAGGGGCTTTATGACCTGTGCCATTGTGTTATGGGTCCTTCTGGGAACCCCTGCTAGATACATGTCTGCTATAATGTATAAGAGTAAGCATTACAACTGTTATTATTCAAGGAAGTTGCTGTGTTAAATGTAGAAAATAAAAGACTGTAAAATAAAACATAAAAAAATTGCATGGGGTAATTTTAGCCTACCTATGAAAATGTAATTGTGACTTGGTTACTCTAAAGTATTTGTAAAGTGGACGAAATCAAGTTGCTAAAGTAACTGTTCTGTTTTT